GGAAAATGGCTGGTCCGAAGTGGATGAGACAGGGGCAGGCTGTTGTGGGGGGCGTTGTACTTTCAATGGCCGTCGTGAAATGGACTGGGCTTCTTGTTCGCCCTTACGAACAAGGCGAACTAAATGATCAAAATCGGCGACAGTATCGTTAAGATGGCGGCAGGCATTTCGGACGTCAGGGTCGCGCAGTCCCCGCCAGTAGATTTGACGGGGGACAGTGTCCATAGAGGATTGGGTAATCCACCACGGCGACACGAATAAAAAACCAGGAGCTTTAAATGTCTGCCAAAGACTGCTGCAGACTCCTGGTCCTCCTGCTGGCTATTCTAGGCTTTTTGAAGGAGAGCCAGTCCATCTTGCACTGTACCATAGCTTGCTTCATGTTCATGAATGAGGTGGGGGATTGAGGCATCGGGGCCAAGTGTCTGAATAAGCCGGCTTGGCTCTCCACAAATGGACTGTCAGACATATGGGGCAAGGACTCGTTCAGAGTATGTGGCATCACGAAGGAAGGACTCCACTTCAAACTTCCAGGTATCAAAGTCCACTCCATGCCCTTTGGTTGAATCTCCCATGAATAATGATATTCGCGGGGGTTGGACATAACCTGTTGGCAAGAGGGGAGGAGGCAGTGGTGGGTAGGCGGGCATGGGGCGCTGGGAAAGGGGACTTAACAGCAGTAATTGGAGAGGGTGAGAGGGATCGTATGCCGAAGTCAGATTGTCTTCAACAGAGCCTGGTACTGCGGTATTATGCAAGGGTTGGGCCACATGTAGTGGTCCCATGGTTGGTGCTGAGACAGGCTTGGAAGATGGCACTGTAGAGAACGCAGACGTGGAGTGCACAATTTGAGGTGGTGGGGGCTGTATTATGTGAAGTGTTGGAGGTGACGTATTTGATCGCGAGACTGGGGTTGGTGTTGGTGGATAGATAATGGGGAGTGGAGAAAGCCTTTCCGCAGATGGAAGAAGGGCTGCAAGAGCGATCAGTTCTGTACACGGCAGGGGAGGTTGCTTGAATGAGCGCAGCACATGTGGGTGTCCATCGAGGAAGGGCTGTCTATCTAACAAGTAAATGGCATTAGTGGCATCATCCGGGAAGCGATAATGGCAATACAAGTACATGGATGTGCCATAGTCGGCTCTAGAATAATACAATTTGCTAACTGATTGAACTAAGCCTGCACGACTCATATGTCTCTGTACCTACTCTGCCGTGGCTCAGTTGACTGGGGATATTGGTTACAAGGACCGTGCTTCTAGTAAAGGGTCTCAAAGGTGAGTTTTCCATGATGGAAGTGATATAAAAGGGTAATGTACCGGCAATACAATATTAGTATCAATGTGAACGATCGGAAAATAAACAAAATGCAAATAACGAGATTACGCAATTACTGCAAGTAACTAATACTATAAGAGAACTCTGTGAACTACATGAAGAGATTTGAACAAAAAAATGGTTAAATCACAGGTGCCAGGTAAGGACTAGGTGTATGGGTAGCGAGAAAAGATCAGACAATCAAATATATCACAACAATATCAAAGCAATCAGCTATCAACAAAATGGAAGACAAATAATATCAGATAGAATTTGTGGGCTTCACTGCTTAGCCGTCGAAGGGTGCATGTGAATGAATGCATTCAATCAATATGAAAGAAAAGCACAGTGTAAACCACACATCGGGCAGCAATTATGTAGCAGGCATGATATGAAAACGATGACACCTGCTTGCGTTATTTATTTGTTCACTAGTTTACGCCATTTTATTGTCAGCCAACCAGTGCCCAGGAGATTAGTGTGTTTCCGGCTAAGATAGCGAAAAGTTTTCGCACGCTCTATGAAAATACAAATATCCTAAATCTAAAGGATACATATATTTAAAAATAACAAGAAAAACCCAGGGATTCTGTTTACAGAAGATAATTATTAACAACAAAAATAAATAAAGGGCCTAGCTTGAAGATGTGTTGAAGTTGGGGATGACTTGTCTGGGCTTCACTTGGCAATAAGCTGGGGAGCTTGCAGTTAAAGGACTTGCAGTTCAAGGGGGCTTGAATGAATTCCGAGGATCGTTGGCTACGTGCAGATGGTGTGCAGGGCTCGATTGCACAATATCTCCTTGCCCGGCTTGAGTAAATCAGGTGTGGGGAACACAATTCATGCGACTCCACTCCAAGTCACTCACTGTCCAGCAGTACATGCAGCTCAATAGGCTCACTGATGTTACCCTAGTGCCTCAGTACTAGTGGTGTCTTTGCCTAGAGCAGGACAGGGACGAATTTGTAATTGTGGCAGGTTCAATGCAAGGAGAGATCACAGAGACAACAGAACAGTCTCTGTTGAGTCCAGTAGCCAAGTGGAGTGCAGGGTCACTGGCCACTGAATTTATCTGCTCCTCAAGGACTCTTGTGGTTGGTTGCAAGTTCTGCTACCAACCTGCCCACATGCGCTGCCAAGCAACCCACACATTTCTAAGAAACTGCATGACCTAACCCCGGGGGAGTTAGAATTTCAAAAAAATGGGGGCACAGAATTTATCCTATTACAATTCCATCATACTTTGCCAATAGAAATGCACGTGACCGTACCGACTCATCTTGTCAGATCTGCGTGTTTGTGAAGTCTAGAGAGGACTCATACATTAACGAAAAACTATATCATCAAATTGTCATCAGTGTGCTGCTCTCCACAATGCCCCCACTTCAGTGACACCCAGACCAGCCTCTTCATCAGATCCACCAGATGCAGTTGGTAACCTTTGCTGTCAACATAATCAAAAGGAGTTGCCAGGTAATTCTTGTTATACGGGAGACTGTCATATTGTTGTGCACCCATGGCCACTAACATTCCCTGGAATACTATTAATAGACTTTGTAACCGTCAGTCATTCCCCATGATGATTGTGTAATGCCTTTTTGCACCCGAAACTAATACACTAGAGTTCTTTGTCTATTCTTCACCCTTTTACTCACGACAATTAGATTCTTGCATACCAATCAGTTAGAAAGTCATGTGACCTCTTGAGATGGAAGTTTCCCATTGGTTGAGCTCTTCAACAATGCTCTTATTTAATTTATTCCTCAGCCCCTAGAATCCTACAAATGGAGCTTATTTTGCCTAGCTCGTCGGTCAGGTGCGTGAGTGAAATGTTACGTAGTGTGGAGGCTGGACCCATTCCGAGAGTGGTGCAGTCATGGCAGTAATTCCAAAATACCATTCTTATGGTGAAGTGTGTGACATCATGAGTAACCATATGACCCCCCAGCTACCGGCAGCTTAGCTTGGACCGATGCAAGTGCGGTGTTGCCTAACCCAGGGTGCCAGTAGAGAGATTTGTAGCATCGTAGCAGCCCGTCACCGCTACATCTGAACCATTTGTCGAGCAGGCCACCACCATGTTCCTCGCCTCTCTGGTCCTGCTAACTTCCTTAGCCCAGATCTTCCCTGTCTCTACACTGAGCCAATGGTGCAGTCACACGGTGTGGTGATTCAATCATTATGCTCACCACACTCTAGTCTGAGCAGCAGTGCAATCGGTACAGTACTGGTACATACACAAGTATAATGCTTGGCCCGTCCAGGTGGTGCTTGTCACCGTGGTGGGGCGGGACAGCTCCCGCCATGGCTTAGTGGGTCAGAGTTATGATATTTGGTACACCCATACGGTACCAACTTTGTTTGACTGGAATTTCCACTGGTTGTGCTGACCCGTAGTTTAGTTACTTGTATCAACTTTGCCTCTGACTTTGCATTTCAAGAGTTGCACCATTATGTTTAATAGCTACAGCTACTTCAAAACCCCACATGAACTTAAATGAAGCAATAGAAGAGAATTCAGAGCAGTAACCAGCTATGCAGTTTGACTGTTACCCAAACCCTTAGTGTATCCCATCTTTTTTGACCCCAAATATCACATCTTATTGGAACAATTAAAGTCCATACTACCACAAGTCTGGTATTTAGGAATGCAACAATATTTTTCCCATAACAGATTTTTGATCTTTGTCTCTGACTGTGTGGGTGCTTATAGTAGTTTGCATAGGATTTGCTTTTTTTATGGAGTGGCATAGACGATGTAGCACATGCGCAGTTGGGGCAGAATAATCCCAAGAGCTGGAGGGTACTCTATCCCATTGAATGGCCTATTTTTAAAATGTTATCGTATTTGTAGCCTGTGAGTTCCTTTAGTTACACATACATGAAAGTACTGGTACATGTACATGTATATTCCACTTTGTTAGTAAGTTACTTGTGTTAATTCATTCACTAACAACCTCCTTCAGTCCTCTTATTAATATTCAAGAATTCTGCAACCTCCAGGAGTTTCTTCCACCAAGTTATGCCTTTGTTATGAGAAACAAAAAAGAGGTCACGCCAGTAGTCATGATTGGGCCCTTTAGATTTGGTGACCTCTGGCCTTTTGTTTCACCCATTCTTCATGTGTTGCTCTTGTTCACTGTTTACCCAACAGGGCAGTTTCACAGTTGCTGCTATTGTTTTTCCTCCTGTCCTCCCATAGTCTCCTTGTTTATATTTACATAGGTTTTTCCTTTCTCCCTGACATCATCGTTACATGTACTTGTAACCTTTTACATTCTAGAAACTTTTCACCATTGAGATGGCAAAAAAAAAATCTGCAGTACACAAGAAAGTTCCTGTCGTTCTTAGGCGCCGGCAGCGGAATGATTTTCAAAGTGGGGCCAGTTGTTAGACCATCAGCAATTAATACTTGTACATGTATATAGGTCAATCCGTTATGCCTCACCCAATTATAGGACCTGCAAAAAGTGGGGCAGGCCCCTCCAGTCGAAAACTTGGGGGAAGGGGGCAGTGGCCCCCTACTTCCGCCGCCAGTGTTCTTACACCCACCCATTTGGCAAATGCGATGAAACACACCGATTTTTGTGTTGCAACAAAAGATGTGTGTGATGTACATGTACAAAGGATTCTTTCTAACAAATCTGTCTGATGCATTTACATGTATACTGTTGTGTATGTAGGTTGACCTTTCTAAAAGGATGGCTGTGCATACTGCAACTGCTCATCCTCACATCACAAATGATGGCATCATGTACAACATGGGATCACATTATGATAGGAAGTCTCATTACAACATCATCAAGGCACTTCCACCAGATCCAGGTGCGTGTACATGTACATGTCTATCCGTTGCTGGCACTCACTCCAGTGCCTACTTGAAGGACATGTCTAAAGACTGTCTTGAATCATTCAAATCATCTACTGTGATGGAAATCATGTGTGATCTTGTTATTGATTTTGTCATCAAGAAAAGAAATATGAAAATGGAAGGAGATGCCTAATTCACTCATGAAACTGTTCTTTTTTTGTGTGTTTGGCTCACAGGTGTGATGGCAGACCCAATGAGCAAGGCATCTGTTCTCTGTTCAATTCCTGCATCTGATTCATTCCCATCCTACTACCACAGCTTTGGCATGACCGACAACTACATTGTGTTCCTTGAGCAACCCCTGGTTCTTAATCTTCTCAAGTTACGCTTTATACGGATTTTCAAGTCAGGTGGGAATCCTTTTAAAGAGGCATTAATTAGCTTCTTATACTTCGACATTCAGGGCTTAGGAAATACATAGGCCACCAAATGGATTTGTCAAACGAAAATAAGGACAAGAGAAAAAAGTGGCCGCCTCTTTCCACAGCAAAGGACCAATTTTCCAAGCACACAAGGTCAAATCAGGTGTTTATGTTTGGCTTCTAATGCCACTAGGAGATGACATTTATAGGAGGCATTTGCAACTACATGTTTGCCTGATTTGCCTGTGGTCCTGCCTGTATATGCACCTATATGTTTCAACCGCTCTCTAAGTTGTGCGCATGGAAGGGAAGCCAACAAATGACGAAAACGAGTACCAATTAAAAACGAAGTGAATTAAAAAAAAAGGTTTTCTTCCTATATTGTCCTAAAAGTTATCAATTTTTTTGTTCAAAAGAACTGACTGATCCCTGTTCACCACTTCCCAGGTTATATCGTGTGTAATTGGGTTGTGACAGACAAGTGCCTTTGGGCTAAGAAGTTCAGTGAATACAACAGGGATCACTGGTTAAATAATATGTATTAACAGACACAGTAAGTGAACATCCACTAAAGAGGAGACACCTTTGCATTTTTTTTTTGAGAGGAGCATGTTTGAAGAATGTTAGGTTCCCATAAAGCTGCATGATATTCTGGGAGAGGGTTGGAGAGTGTGTTTTATAATCTTGTTTGGTGCACTAGCTGTAACGTATTTCAGATCATTTCAGAAGTAATTATTTTTTTTGAAGTTTTCTTGCAAAACTATATGCACCGTACTATATGCATCTTGATAGGTTTTTCAACTACAATGAAGTATCAGAAGACACGCCCAGCACGATTTCACCTCATCAAGCGTGACACAGGGGAACTCCTCTCCCAAAGGTTCCTGGCTGATCCCCTTTTCTGCTTCCATCACATCAATGCCTATGAAGAGGGAGGACATGTGGTAGTGGATCTGTGTTGCTACACAGATGAGAGTGTCATCCAGAGTGTGGCCGTTGCAGAAATGAGGAATGGAATGAGGACGAATGCTCCACTCATAAAAAGTGAAGGCAAGAGATTTATTCTGCCGGTCGACAGAGAGAAGGTAAAACTATGCCCATTTTACTTGATAGAACTTGCATGAAGGAAGTCTTTAGATTCATCGTTTCTTTTCATCTACCATGAAGCCCTCAAATCTATCAAAATAGAGATAGTTTTCTTTGACTTTGGTAAGCTCAGGAGTGCACATACGGTGCAAACGTTGAAGACAGCATCAGTATGGCAGTGCTGTTCAAACTTGACATGATCATAGAACAAGCTCTGCTTTCCATAAGGCATAAGAACTGATGTTCTTGGAATATCAGTTGAGAGTGGGGTGTCCATGGGTATTTGCCCCCCCCCTTCAATTTTTTCTTAATAGAAAAAAGAGCATTATATACCCCTGTGTTTTTGTGCATGAGAACAAAAGGAAAGGCTCCACAAGAATACAAACTGGGGTGTACGCATGGACATGTATGCATAATGTGTTTATGATGCCTTGTGGGCAAGGATTTGTCAGGCTTAAACATTTCCTGATTTCAAGAATTTTTTCTTCTGGATTTTCCTGACTTAAGATTTTTCAAACAATCCCTTTCAAAATTTCAAAAATCCTGAATTTACCATTTCGGTGTTTTTACATAGAAAAGTTGAATTACATGTAGAACACAAAAATGTGATATATGTGCCCTCAAGCAAACACATGTACATGCCGTAGAACCACTTGACAATGGACTTCTGGAACTGATGCTCTTCGCGGTTCTAACAAGCCTTACATTTGTGCAGAAAGGTCAAGGGTCAAGGTCAAAATGGCTTGAATATAAGCAATCTTGTCAGTGCTTCAACTTGAAAACCACTTGGCAAATGGACTTCAAATTTGGTTTGTGGATTGCTGTTGGGGGTCCAAAAAGTCTCACATTTAGAGCAAAAATGTTCAGCGTAAAGGTCAAAATGGCTACAGCAGTAGAGAAATCTTGCAATCGCAAAGTTAAGTTGGTTTAGGCATTGACTTTGTGGGGCATTTTTGGTTGTTATTGTATCATTTTAATTTTTGTTTTCTCTTTTAGGAAATGCCAACACCTAAACTATGGTTCTGTACTAGTGTACCTGTCTGTTAGGAGGTCTTGGATTATAGTACATATGCTAAATGGACAGTCATTTCCAGAAAAATGCCAATTTGTCCCCCTGCCTGACTCACACCTGGACAATCTGCTGGTAAAGGCCACTGAAGAAAGATGGGTTCTTGGGAGAAACAGGCATTTTGGTGAAAAAAAAGAGCACTTGATGGTGATGAGCGTTAAGTTGTAATGTTCAAGAGTTTTAGGTGTGTACTTTCGTTTCTTGTGAGCTCTCTTGAGTATTGTTTAAAGAATTTGGGGTTTTTTGCAGACACCTGGTATGAATCTCAATGCCCTGGATTACTCTAAAGCAACTGCTGTGCTCAATGATGATGGCTCCATTCACTGTACCCCTGAGGTTATCAGTGATAAGTGTAAGCATTTTGTGTTAACCTTGTGCATAAGAAGGGAAGTGAATTTGATATCCGGAAACATTTGTAGCAAAATTCATGTGGTTTGAAATGTGTCTAACCAAGTTTATGAATTTTCATAGCAATTATTTGATCTAAAGTCATAAATTCCCATTTCAGTTCACTCTATTGGTTGTGATCAATTATTGGTAGATGGTTTGTAACAGTTTTTGAAAAACTGACGGATTGCTTTGTTTTGACAGACGTAGAGCTCCCAAGAATAAACTATGAGAAACACAATGGGAAGCCATACCAGTATTTCTATGGTACCAGTGGTGACCTTTGGCAAGTGAGTTGATATTTTTCTGTCCATAACTGTCTCAAAACACAGTAAATTCCTATTTAAACCTTGCCATTCATTTTAAACAAGGCATGTGTTATTGGTCACAGAACTCCACATTTTGTTTCATTGTTTTCAATTTGTACGGGCTTTTAAATTTTGTTCTATCGAATTCTTTGATACTTTCCTTTAATTTATCTTCTCTAACTACAGTTACTTAAAAGTGACACAAGGACAGCAACATCTCAAGTGTGGATGGAGGAGGGCGCTCTCCCCTCTGAGCCAGTCTTCATCGGTGCTCCAGGGTCAACAAGTGAAGATGATGGTGAGTGTTTGTACTCGTGAGTGATTGAGCAGTGTTGGCAGAAAGCTGATATTGATCCATTGGAATCATCACTAATCCATGGATATGATTTTGCTCACCAAGCTATGTACCAAGGAAAGAACAGTTGTAAGTAGTGTAGATTGACTTCACAATCAGTTTTAAGTCAGTACTTCCTGTCTCTTGAAAATTTCTGTAGTTAGCAATGCCATGGGACCAACTTACTCAAGGACTTTAAAGGTGGATTTTTGGGTTAGGAATTGGATTCAATCCTTGATGAAAACCTTGCTATAAAACGGTTTGGCTGTATGTGAGGATGGTGTAGAGATTTCAGTAACTGATAACATGATGTGGAAGGAAAGAAATTTTAAGTTTGGATGATGGCGCTGTACTTGAATATATATACATGTACATTGTATGCATTGGGAGGCCCCAGAAGTAAAAACTTTATCATTCACAGAAAATATCCCATGTTAACTTTTACACTCAAAAGATCTCCCTCTAAAAAGTGTCAAATCATGGCCTCAAACAAAAAAGAAAAAAGGAAATTTCATACGTGAACATACACGCATCTATAAGCGGATGTTGAAGTTTATTTAAGATGCCACTTCTCTTTCCTAACTGCATCTTTTCTCTCTCTCTTCTGCAGTTTGCCTGGTATCCAGGATAACTAACACCTTTTTTCTTTTTGTTTTGAAGGTGTGGTTGTTTCTGCTGTAGTAAGTGTACAGGAGGGTAAACCTTCCTTCCTTTTGGTGTTGGATGCTCGTGATATGAAAGAGGTAGCTCGGGCTGAGATTGATGCAGAGGTCATTTTTGGCATTCATGGCATGTATCTTGCCAATTAATTGATCTGACACAGTTTGTTCTCTTTGAGGGAACAGTCCTATAGCTAATGTGTTTGGACTTAATTGCATTTGTTTTTTGAAAATGATGAAGAAAAATCTATTTCTATCTTTTAGTTGCCACTGTGACAGTGTTATTAGTTCTAGTAGTTCTTAATTTAGTATGCTCTATGGGATTTTATTGAAAATGCTAAGGGAATAAATATGTGCTTGGTTGGTCTTACCTGCAGTTAAGACCGACCAAGCACATATTTATTGCCAGTCATAAATATATTTTATTCAGATTGTCAAAAGAAGTCGATATGATGGATTTCCAGCGTTTTTGTTCTAGACTTTTACTTTCATTTTCCCCAACACCCCTGTCTATTTTATGGAATTATTCCTTGTGCAAATTGTCTAGTTGGCGTGTGCGTGGCAAGCCGCGTGCACACACTCTCTTGACCAATCAGCATTGATTAAACAAGGTGACAACACATACATTTGTAATTTATGCAGCAGGCATTATCAAATGTTAATACGGGGTCAAGTTGCAAGTTGTTGGATAGGGAGACTGAGGTATTCATGAATGAAAGTTAAAAGAATGAATTTGTAGTTGAAACAAGAATGTTACTCTGACAAGATAAGTTACTCTGATAAAGATAAATCTTGAATGACTCTTCCATTGTTTGATTGAGTCCAGCTTGTGTTGTAATATAGGGTCCAGGGGTGTTTGGGGGGAAGGTTGAGGGAGGTCACATACATATGCACTCCTCACCTTCTAGATATAAATTTGATATGCAGAGCATGCTCTACAGGAATGCTTGAGCATTCCTTTTATTGGTGACCTGTGTAACAATGGACAGGGACTAAATATACATGTAATCTATCAGCTAAAGCGACCAAGCTGAAGTCCCCTTGATTGTTAGATGTCATTGATAGTCACCCACTTTTGGTTGCTCATTTCATAGCTCATTGGCATGTTTGGGGTTATGGTTGCACCCTTATTCAAATTGGTATGCACAGACCTCCCCCTTTTAGTAGGTTACTGGTAAAGGGTACCTGGAGATATGGGAATACTCCGCATAAACACCAACAAATGCAGTAAAAATCCTTCAAAATAGTGAAACAAAAACTGGAAATGAGGTTAACTGAGACACAAAGGTTCATTCTGACGGTATATATTGGTAAGTCTATTAAGCTGCCCTTTAAACAACTTGTTTTCTGTGCTACTCACCCCTACCCTCCAGTCACCACTGCCACTGCCCCCCCCCTCCATCTCTTGTGATGCCTAAACTCCACCCCTACCTCAGTGGTGTAGACAGCATGCAGGGTGGGGGATGAAACATATTGGACAGTCGTTGTGGAGAAAAATAGCCTCATTTCCCCTCTCAAATCATGGAGAGGTAACTTCACTAGTACCTATAGTTCCTGCCACACATGTATCCCCACGTCCAGTAATGTCCCTGTTGCCAATATAGAAAACGAGGTAAATGTACATGCACTTCAACATGTACAAAAATAAGAGCTAACTTACAAAACCAGTAGAAATATGAATATATTTGCTGTATATAAATTTATTTATTTCACTTTATCAGTGGCACTAGCAAGCACACTATTACATTGCTACATCTAGAGAGCGTTCATGAACCAAATATTGACGTCATATGATAGTGCTGAAGACCTTTCTTTTGTCTTGGGACATTAACATCTGTTTTGTACGGTGAGCCATCAGTTCACTTAAATTAAGAAAAAACTATAGTCATCTGTGATGTACCAAAAGACAGGTTGCTGTCTTTGCCGTATCAGGAAATACACTGTAATGGGGAAAATAATTAAGATAAGAGAGCACGGTAATCGGAAAGTAGTTTGCAAGCATTTTTCTTATCGTTTAACATTTTGAATTTTCGAAGTATGGTGCGGGCATTTTCCTACTTTCAACATTTGAATGTTTCTGCTCCATGAAATGATTTCGGAAAGGAAAACTTTATATACATACTTGTCTGTGAGTTCTGGGTACTTTTTATCAACGTGGTTAAGTACTCTGCTAATGTTGATGAAACAAGAATTTTGTCTTCAGTTAGATTTGAAAACAAAGAAAGACACGGCAGAATTTTTAACAATAAACGTCGTATTCGTGAAATTATTGCTGAGACGAGGGACTTTTTCTTCTTTCGTACTCTTTTATTATCCTAGACTTTCAAACCTTGAGGACTGTGAGGAAGCCGGGAAAGTATCCCTATCATCTTGGGTCACGTTTCGGAAGAGGCGATTATTAGAAATGGACTAACCTCAAAAGTGTGCGGGCCTTGTATTCCTTCTGTTGCAGAATTAGACTCTTGAGTGCTAATCAGAAAATTCGACAACAGGGGAAGATTCCTTTTGTTTTGCATGGGTTTTCACCCGATTGTGCCGGGAACAAATGACAAAAGTACTTAGTTGTGTTAAGGAACCTAAGCATGTCGAAGGAACTCACGACTGTTAAGTTGAAATAAAAGGGGCTGGGTTTTGAAACAAGTCATTTATACAATAAGTGTACAAAACAGTTCTGACTTGTGTTCGACATTGTATATCGTAGTCGGTGTAAAGACACACTCGTGTTAATGATTTGATTGATCGACAAAGTAAAATAAACTCAACGTAAATCAGATAAATTAATAAATTATTGAAAGGGCTACCCCCACCCAAGTGCTATCCCACTGCCTCCCTTAAAACAAAAGAACAAAAAAAAACTCTGCCGATAACGTAAGAGTTGTGAATAATAATCTCGGAGCTTTATAAATTGCACATTCCAGCAACTACAAGCAAAATAAAACAACTAAACTCCGTAATCTTCATCACAAAATTTATTAAATTTGAAACAAAATCATACACACGCTTACACGGGATTGTGAATTTCAGATGACGGGTGCGTGAAACCGAATGACCCAAGTGGCCTCCGTTTTGAATATCAACAAGACAACAAATAAAATATACAGGCAAGATATGGGACGGAGGGATACCCCCTTACCTGTCCAATCCCTATACACACAGTAGACTATTGCTTTCCAATACAAGTAGCATTGTTTGCGCAGGAAGACGACCGCTGGCGTGTGGCTACAGCTTTAAGATGAAACCGGAAATTCCAGATTTGGACAATTTTTAGGTCTTTTGTGATCCAATATAAGGAGCCTTGTTTGCGCGGGAAGACGACCGCTGGTGTGTGAACAACGGGAAATCTGCACTAAAAGAGAAAACAGTCAGAAAAGAACTCTTCCCTGCTTCCATGGATATTTCCCGAACTAAACCAAATATGAATAGGAAACTTGCATCAATGGATAGAAAATTATGTGAGCTTTAAGATGAAACGAAAAATTCCAGATTTGGACAATTTCCAGGTCTTTTTCAGGATCCAATATATGTAGCATTGTTTGCGCGGGAAGACGACCGCTGGCGTGTCCATAACGGGAAATCTGCACTGAACTAAAAAAAAACACTCAGACAGCAATATTTCACTTCTTTCAAGGTCTTTTGTGATCCAATTTATGGAGCCTTGTTTGGGCGGGAGGACGACCGCTGGCGTGTTGATCTGGAATTTCCGGTTTCATCTGAAAGCTCACCTGGTCTTCTATCCATTGATGTAAGTTTCATATCCATACTTGCTTTAGTTGGGGAAATATCCATGAAAGCAGGGATGAGTTCTTGTCCGACTGCTTTCTCTTTTAGTGCAGATTCCCCGTTGTCTACACGCCTTGCTTTCCGTTATTTTCTAATGGGGGCATGTCGAAATCTGGTTGAGCGCAAGAGTTTGCTTCCGTAATTGAGCAATAAACCAGATCTTCTGGATTCTAAAGTTGGTATACCTAGCCCATACTGGCGGGCGGTGGGAGTCGCAGAATGTGCGTCCGCCCCCCCCCCCATGCGACTAAAAGGTCGGCTTTCGAGGCAAGGGAAGATTTTGAGCTAAAGGAGAACATAACTGCACAAAAAAAATCACATGCTTCGGTGTGTTTCGCCTCAGTCAATCCCCTCTTCAGGAGTTTATTTGTAACCCCCCCCTAACAATTGGTATGACCTCATGAATCCTGCTGTTTTCAAAATAAACAAAATATCTATGAAAGGTCTGGCTTTGTTTATTTATTTATTTTTTATTTATTTAATTTCCCAAGATGATACGCCGGTAGGCACGCCGTTGAACACGTTAAATAGAATTACTTTGCTCAGTATTTATTGATGTGTGCCAGACTTAGCAGGCAAACACAAGAATCGGTCTGATGTAGCAAAGAAAGACTTTGAGCATATCATCTCCAGGAACATTGACTCTCTTTAGTATACACAAATGTAGTCTTCGAGAAGTTCTGGAGACAGTGTCAGAAATGTGTAAATTCCGCTTCAGATCCTTTTGAATGATAACACCTAATAATTTCAAACGTGACACATCATTCAAATTGATCAAGTTAATTGACAAGTCTTCTCTTGGTATTTCCCGTCTAAAAAAACTGTCATAGACTGCCGTTTAAATGGAATATCCACATATTTCCGTGTGCAAGAGCTCTCAGACACATCGTTGACAAGCACAAGAAAAAGAATCGGACCGAATAGACAGCTAAATCACGTGACATATTGCTATGGTGGGTATCAAGCCCATAATAACCTATGTTTTGAGTGTTGTTTATAAATAATACAGCCAAGTTTCGGCATAGTAACAACCTCATTAGTAACTGAGTATGGTACCTACCGTCAGCTTTATTTTTGGGAAATGATACTTATGAAACACTTTGCTATTGGTGGAGGCCGTGTTTGTTGGTATTTAATACCCACTAAAGGTCACGTGACTTAGAGGGCGTAATCAGTCTAAGCTATACGTTTAACTATGTGGGAACAACCGAACTTCTGACACCAAGGTTTTTAAACTTTCGTATCACAATTGTATAGTTAACACGATCAAATGCCTTCGTAAAATCATAATAGGCTCAATGCCAGATTCGACAGATTCCCCAATCACTGGACCGATGCAAGAATTGTTTGCAACTGTTCAATATTTTCAATAAGAAAGTACTTGAGTTTTGCTTCGTTTTTCAGCTCTTTTCTTGTTGCTTAATTAGCTTGTCATCTTTTTCTGTTGTCTTGCTTAAATTTTCTTGAATTAAACTTGGCATATCGACTTTAGGTCTTTATACTTTGGGACTTTCACTTAGGATAGAGCTGAGGCACACAGGTTTAGCAACTGTGCCACCAGTACCTGAAATTAGAAGCGGTAGTACAATATGGCTCTCGCCAAGGACCTCATCCATGTAGCGCCCATTCTTCTGGCTCTCCACTGCCTGTTGATGGATTGTTCATCTCCTGGTTGAATGAAGAAGAATAATGAGGGAAATCTGTAGACCTTAGGAAGCATTCAAAAATTCCTGGTTAAAATTAAAAGAGATTGATTTCTGGTATTTACATTCTGAATATTGTAGAACTCTTTTGACATTGAAAGTTTCACAAACCAATGTTCTAAGGATTAGCCTAGAAAATGTTTCGAAAAGTGAAACCAATGATTTGCAGGCATGGATCAATTGGGATGTTTGAGGATCCCCTGCCCCCTTAGATAAACTTGGGAGGGGTTAAATGTGTATGTATAGTTTAGAACAACACAAAGAAGTGAAACGGTTTTACCAACATTGACCAATAGTAACTTGCTTATCCCACCACATTGTATATCAGAAGAAAACTTTGAGGGAAATTGTAACAAAAAATGATAAATTCAGCACATTTTCCTCATAAGCTCTTCTTTTATTAAAAATGTCGTATATTTGCCAACAGATTGAATGCAAAAGACTTCATATTTGTTCACATTATATTTCTGTGTTCTTTTTCACAAGGAGCTAAAGGTTGAACATAAGTATTTTCACCACTTGTTTGATGGGAGTTGGCAAATACAAGGACTTGATACAATTACATGCATAGTTGATCTCTAGCTTACCTTGTATTTTCTGCACAAATTATTCCATTTTTTGCGCAGCTGCTCCGGTGTTAGATCCACTTCCAACTGCACTGAAAGGATACAAAAATCTGCATATCTTCTTTGTGAAAATATTGTTCTTTTTTAATGTGAATGTATTTCTTTTAATGAAGCATTTAATAAATCACAAGTGTTTTTATATAAAGATGTGGTCATATTTTCTTCAAAAGCAGAAATTTGTACACGTGAATGAGTTTGTAAATAGTTTTATTGCAGGGAAGGGTTTTTACCTTATCTTTGTTCATTAGGCCTAACTTTTAAAAACTGACATATACATTTGATTTCCGCATGCGGAAACTTGTGTGGAAACTGGCTGCAAACCATCCAGTTTCCAGCGCGTACGCTGTCCCTTTCCGCTGGCCGCTTCCATGCCCGTTTCCTGGGTACTTAAACGCACCCCACGTTTACGGCGTTTACTGCCCCACGGAAACTGGCGGGGAGACTTTTGGGTCGTTTACCACGTTTCCGCAATATCGGAATCGCGACCGAAATTATCTGGCCTAATTGATCCACTGGGTACTTTCTTGTTAATTAAGATGGTGTATGAAACATTGGAAATCCAAATTTGTCTGGATTATTTGCAAGGATAAACCTGGTGTGGGGGCACAGTGTATTTATTAACTGGATTGTCATGAGTATAGATTTAAGAACCAGAACATGATTAAATGGAAGGACACAAAGCCAACCATTTACGCATCTTTTTCCCCGATGTTTTATTTTATTTCAAATCCAGGTACATCCAATCATCTCATAAGCAAGTGAACCTACCAAACTGCACAAACTTAAATAAAAATCTTTTCCAAAAATTTCGTTTTAACTTTGTGGGTACTTGTATATTTTGTTTCATTCATTGACAATGGTACCAATGCATCAAATTAAAATTTATTTGTAGTTATTCATGTTTGCGCGTCTTAAGATCCAGTGTACGCGTGTATGCCTGGGTGTGTGGGGGTGAATTTTGTTAAAGCTACTGGATGACCTCCAGTTTCAGCTGGGGTCAGGCTGTCCCACCTCAGTGCTCTTGGGAGTTAATATGTCCTTGTTCTGTCTCCCAGTGGTCGACTACGGGCCGTTTCTGTACCAACCTGCTGGAACCACGTGCATTTGTGCACTTCCGTTATTCGACCTCATTTGCACATAAAAGTACACTGTACATGTACATCTACAAAGTTATCATGCATTAGCAATGCCTTAATAGAGTCATTTGTCCACTTGCCCACTTTTTGTGAATGTATCATAATAGACCCATGGTATGAGTTAATTGAGTCGAAAAACATGGTCTGACATTTCATGTGATTCACAACACAAAATAAAGCTATATACATGTAAACGAACATAAAACACGGCGCACCAAGTTCAAAGGAATAAAATACGAAGCGGACACCTAGTGCTCATCGTTTTTTAGAAAACTTCAAATAAGAATGGAAACTAGAAATCACAAAGAAAATGTGGGGAGAACTCTTTCAATTCAGATTCAAGGGAATTATAAATCCAGTCCCAATTTAACAACAGTATATAAAAAAAGAAATCTTTTTCCAGATTTTTCACTTGCCCTTGATCATAAATCGTTTTTTTTCCGATTAAGTGGCGTTTCCAATGTGTAAAACAAAATCAAATGGCTTTTTTATTTCCAAAATCCTTTAAATAACACTGAGGTTGGCGGAGCGCAGAAGAGGTGAATGGTTTTAGAATACAATAAACCCGAAAGTAGCTTAACATAAAGCAACAAACAACAAAAGCTTTTATTTTGCCTGTTCTCTCTAAAAATCGAGTTCAATCTTAATATTTTATTTAACGATTATGAATAGACAAAAAATACAGGAATCGTTACTAAATATATGTAGACCTATAGCTAATTTTGCGGCGTTTGCACTGCCCAGGAGCCTCGATCAACTGATGGCGGAGGGCGAGAGGAAGGCACATTCGAGATGACAAATTCAGGAAGCAACCTTGAAACTACTGCAGGAGCGGTCTTTGCAAAGTGTGCATGTGTGCAAACATCACTTATGTTTAAGTGATGCCAGCTTTGACCGCTCCCATGGCAGTTTCAGGAGCCTTCTGGTTTTACATCCAGATGAGCGATCCTCCTCGCCCTCCGACATACTCTCCTCGGAAGACATGTAGTCTATTGTCAACACCTCGAGGGCTTCCTTTTTGAGCTCTTGGGAAGCCTGTAATGTTTTCAGGGCGCTTTGTCGCCTGTGTAGTTTCTGTTTAAAAGAAAGAAATTGAAGGGAAATTGCTGATTTCCCTTCAAGTGCTGATCGTACGTTCCACGCTCCATCCGGCGCTGCTTGTCACGAAGCGACATACAGTACATGTAGGTTTTGGCAGCTTCTGCATAAAGACATTTTAAACACAATAATAGGCATGAATATTTATACTGTCAGGTATAAGCATTGATATATTCCCTGACATACAGATAACAGACGTCAGAAACAGATATTGCCAAACACCACTAAAGCTGGGCTATTAGCCAATTATGTCATATAAATTTTAGGACTATGCGTAGGCATACGCTGCCCATTTCTAAACTCATCTTACAGAGATTTACTAAGACTAATGACAATGTTTTTAACACATCCCTGAGGACATTTCGTTTAACTTTAATACTAAAGAGTGTAAACCTTTTCCGATCTCATTAGTTGGGCTTGTAATGTGACAATATTCACAAAATGCATATCCAAAATACTGCATTTTCACCTACTTCGTATATGAGCAGAACTCCACTTTTCTCGTCCACGAACAGTTCTAACTTCTCGGGTTAACGTCGAAATGGTTGCTTCATTTTCTCTGGAAGTTTTGCTATGAAAAGTAAGCATTTGCATATGATAATTTACAGTGTAAAATCATCTCTATTTTAATTTGCAAAGTCCGTTGGTCAATTTTGGTAATATCAAAATGGTAGCAAACTGTGAACCACTAGTTTAAAGAGGAAAACAAATTGACGGAAATGTCACATGCCTCTTGTATGATAAATTCGATACGTATACATTTGTGCCGGGTTGAATCCTCCAATCCCATCTCTGTACAACTTTCCGTACACGTCCCTCACAGATTGCTATGAGGAAAAAAAGTTGATATAAACTTGTCAAGAACATTTATTGTAACCACAGTTTTCCTTACATGTACTTATCTATTAGTGCCACCGTTTTTCTTCTCCCATAGAATGTCATGCACAAAACGTCGCTGAAAAAGTTAGTTAACCGCCCTTCCTCGTTTGCTCGTTTCTGGTTCTGTTTTCACATAATTCTTTGTATTCATCGTAGCCTCATTTTAAGTCTTATTAATGAGTACAGTTTCAATTTCCTCACATAAAGATTATTCAATGTTTAAAGTTGCGGTGCTTATCCGAAATTGACGGAAATCGAAATTTCAAGTTGATTTTCAATCAATATGAAATTTCGAGAGACAAACTACCAAAAAAAAAATCATAATCTCACCGAACATTCACGAGGAACAGCAACACGTTTTCCTCTCTAATTTACCTCCCCTTGTCGCATATTTTGTCTTATCTCTTGGAGCTCCTCATTTTGCTTTTTGAGTTGTTCCTCGAGTTTCTTGTTTTCCATGTACAACATGAGCAGAATGATCTCAGATGGTGCACTTGAACTTGAAGCCTAAACCAGCAATTTCAGATAAGGACATGTAGGTTAACACAAGCTGGCTGTGCCTCTGCATGCTGTAAAGTTAATTTACTCAAACTTTAGCAAATAAGCTTGTTTCGTTTAATTTAAAACAGTACAGTTTCGTCCCCTCAATCTATAAATAACACCTGGTTGAAAAAGTATGTTTACAAGGTATTTGCGTATACAAAACAAAGTTTCGTGTACCCGCAGTTGAAGTGAGCATTTCTAATGTCAGAAATGTGATGAGGCATTGAAAATGCACTTGCAAATACATGTACATGTTTAACATCAGCACTTTTTATTGTCCCTTACATACAGGTACCACAGCAAAATGTTTATTTTCGAGTAATTCTTAAAAGTTGGCTCATACAAATTACAATTTTCATGCATCGCGAATCATTGCATAGATGTAACAGGGACATGCTCAAAAAATGTCTTCCATTGTCATACTGCTGAAACTCACCACTGAAATGTTTCCTGCCGAAGTACCATGTAACGATGAGGTCTGTCCACTCCTCGCAGAAAGTAAAGATACTATGGATTCTTGACTTTCTGTGTCACTCTCATCGGTACTCGGAGATGGCGAAGAGGTGGATTGTGGAAACCTGAGTGCGTTGAACGAGGAAGACCCACTGCTGCTGGGCCGAGGATGACCACGATGGCCAAGTGCGTGTATACTATGTGATATATCGACAATTGTTGAACTATTGCCGGCTTGTAAACTGTCATGATCCTCAGAAGAAATTGTTTCTAATTCAAGAAGTGTTTCTTCTCGTGTAAACAGTCGACGCTGCGGCAAATCTTCGATATTTGGAATCTGTCTCGTTCCTCGGTTCATTTTTCCTGTACGTGTTGCTAACATCAACTCCAGATACACAAATGCGGCACGCAATGCCAACAAGGGTGTATGGCAGACAACAGCGGTTATGAATTATCAAAAATGGCGTGCAAAGCAGTGACGGGCCAATTGGAAGGGAGGAAGCTCCGTGATTACATATGCAGACCCTGAATTATGCCAAGACTATCTCAGTCTGGTAGGGTGTTGTGTTGGTTATCACATTTTGCTGCTAGTGACAGTCTCAGAAAAGCTTTGAACTCCATGAAACAGTGAAAGGGCACGCTGAGTCTCCGAAGGCCTCTTTAGCCAGTAAGAGCAGCTGGACGCTCACTTAGTTTTCAGAGGGTGATTTCTGCTACTGAACAGACAGCTCTTCTTTTAATTTTAAAGGCTTAGCAAATCGTTGGATTTTCAGTACTTTTAAAACACTGCAAAGAAATATAAGGCTGTATCTTGTAAATTCCAATCAAAAGTGGATATTTTAATATAAAAGTTATATGGTATCAGGACTAAAAGTGTCACAGCCACGAATGCAGTATTGAAGTTTGGAGAATAAAAAGATCATTAATTTTACTAATGCGATTAAATTTAGTAGAGAGTGTTTCATGATTAAAAAAACTGCCTTTGGGCAAGTTATGGATTTTGTAATGCTAATTGTGGATATTTTACAGCTGTGAGTTGTTATGTATGGAAAGATTCAGAAGTAGTTAAAACATAATGGAGATGGTGTATTTTCTCATATTTGGCATGTATTCTACGAAATATCTATACACAATAAACCATTTAGCATCCATTTTAGGTGACATGTTGTCATGAATATCAGTGCTTTAAGGGTACAGTCCACTAATTCAAGCCCCATGGAAAACAGTGTAAAATCAGCACTGTTCAGGGCCCAATAGCATGCACGCCAACATCCCTGAGATTTCTGAAACACAAATGAAATTCTTCTCTGGTGACTTATCTTTCAATTTCTTTTCAATTTTTTGTGGGTTAACCAATCACATTTTTAATTATTCCCACAAAACATTACCCTCCAAAAAGTGATTTTTCCGAAGTCTGATTGCAGCCATTTTTCAAGTGGCAACCCTCAACTTTCTCAGGCACTTTGGACCATTTTTCAACCGTAGTTTTTAGCCATTCTGCTCTCATATGAGAGCTCAAAGACCCAGGGGTTGATCCCGGCAACGATTCACACAATCTCACCATTTTGGGGGCCAAACAATCTCCTTTTTCAAAAGATACTGTGGAGGGGGGGGCACTTTTAATGCTAATGAGCTGGCCAGAAATTCTCACTTGAATAAGTGGTCTGCACCCTTAAGGAAAGAGTTATGTGTTTTAAGTTCTCTTCAACTTGACTTTGCCACCGGCATAATTAGATACATAACCATATGATCGCTCCAAAGGGACCGAGTAAGTATTTATTTCAAGAACAGTCGTCGGTAAAGAGCTGGATCCAGGCCTGTCACTACTGGCATGCCATCGAAGTGAAACATTCCAGCTGACACACACTCACCCTTTGTTCGATTGCACAATTCTTGACGAATACCAGCCTTGAAGTGCTCGCGATCACTGGCTACTGGGGGTCAGATGGAATGCGCTCTCGCTCCAGCTGGCTGAAGGTGAATGGGTTTGTTGCCTTGCATACCTTACTCTCCCTTTCCCATCGGACTCGCGTCTTCTCTTCCCGCCAATTTCATTGTTTTTAACGGCGTCTTTATCTGACTTTCATAATGACAAACCACCGAGCAGACTAGTAGCGAATCGTAGCAGCGTTGAACGTTACACTCTGAACTGAAAATATACGTCTAATTTATTCGAACCTTTGCAGTAGCCTTCAAAATGAAAAAGAATTACCCCTTGATTATTTTTCTCCTGCTTAGAGCTAAAGTAATGCTAAACTTTCAGCCCATATACCGTCTCTAGCCATTTCCAAGGCTGATCTTCACTACATGGTAACTTTGCAAACAAATTTTCTATGGCTTAGTTAGTTAATAAATAAATTAAAAAATGGCAATTTAATTTGAAATTTTCCTTGAACGCATAAAACGCTCATTAGTCGCCTTTCAGCCACCTTAACTGGCCTTCCCGAACACAACTTATTTGCCATGATGTCAGTCCCCAAAAGTAACAAAACAATCTTCCTGCAGAACCTAGTGTTGTATGCAGTGCAGGCTGCAAGACATGCCATTATCCCTTCCACTCTCTACTTGGAATGTAAGACCAGCCTTGGGGTGACAAGGGCCACAATTAGCAGGACGATTTGTCTGGCGGGAATACCAAAGCTTGACCCCATGCGGTCAGCCGAAGTGGGATGTACCCGCACGGTAAAAAGGGACACGGAGAATGAACGGAATAACCGCAGATAGGACAGAGATAAAAATGTTTAGTAAAAAGTTTGAAGTTAAGTTAATGTGACAAATGTTGATTCATAAAATGGGAGATAAGTGTGTTAATTAAACAAAAGATGTCGCTGCGATGTTTATTTTTTATCATGCCATGATTACACATACGCTTTATCGGTCAGTTTCCAACGAATCACTAGCCAGTTTCCTCGTGAGTAGTTTCCTTGTCACGTAAATGCTAGCCTGAAACTCTGGAAACTGGTCTCCACGTTTCCGGAGCCCATTTCTGTGTCGGTAAACTGCCAGCGGAAACGATTGGGTGCAAACACTGCACCTGTTTCCGTGGGTATGAAATTTCCGGAAACTACACCTTTCGCACAGTGATATATATATATATGTCCGATGGACTTTTTTCCCGGAACTGAATTTTGCCATGTTCTTGCTTCTCAATTAAGGGTTATGGGTACAGGTTTCTGGACCGGACGAAATGACAAGCCTTTGAATTCTGACTGGAATAATCAAGGTCTTTGTTTTCTGGGAGTTCACCTTGGAAAAAGCAAGAAAAACGGGGGAAATTGTAAAGACCGTCTTTCTAAGACTCTCTCAAATTGGAAACACCTCTGTCGTTCAAAGGAAAAATTCTCATCATCAAGCAGCAGGCTTCTGCTAAAGTTTTTCACTTTCTTGCCGTTCTCTCCCGTCCCGAAAACGTCCTTCGTGATCTTTAGAATCTGCTTGTCAATTTCGCCTGCTCGAGCAAACGACACCTTTTTAACAGACTGTTCATTTCAAACCTGTGATAACAGTGGGCTTGGTCTAACTTGCCTCCAGGAACACAGTCTGGTCGCTTTCAAATTTCAATTTCTTCACCGATATTTTCAATTCAGTTCCCACCCTTGTTTCTCGTTAATGGATTACCATCTTCGCAAATACAAACGCCTTAACCTCAGCTACCAAATTTTCCTTTTAGACCTTGACCCTCATCCTTTTTACGGTGAAGTGCTGCGTGCCTGAATGGCCCTCGGAGCTCAAATCGACACGCCCTCGGATTCACTCAATCATGTCCTTAATCTGCCATTATTTCCCTCCCGGTCCCCTCGTTAATTCTTTGTTTGGTGGTGCGGCCCTCGCTGATCGACTCTGGGCGCGCGGACTAAAATTCGTCAGTCAACTCGTCGACCTCGACACACACACATGGCGTCCCACTCAGGACTTTCATCTCCCTTCACCCCGTCGTCGTCCACCTTAATCCTGCCTCTTTCAACTGGGCATCTCTCATCTCCATCTTGCGTTATCGTCTGCCTTTCCGGCACTATTCAACTTGAGCAGACTCATCCAGCAACAGCCAGTCGATCTCACCTCGATCCTCCCCCGGTCACGTCCTCGTCAACAAGGACACCGACTCTCTTCTACTTTCATCTGAAACTCTTTATTTCCGCCTCCACAACGAAACCAATCATCTGTCTTCTCCTGTTCTCACTCCGTGGCACCGACTTGGATATTCCCCCCCTTCTTTTGTAATTCCCTGGAAAGCCGCTTAAGAACAGCCCACCAACAAGAAGGAGACGTTCAGTAGAAATTACTCCACAACATTTGGCCTTCGTTTCCTGTCCTCCATCATCTCAACAGCAAAATTTCAGGTAATTGCCTGTGGTGCGGCAAGAGGGGAACCATCACCCATCTGTCCATCACCTGTCCCCGTATTCAACCCAGTCTAAATCTACTTCATTCGGTCGTCTCCTTCCAGATCTTCACCTCAAGTTTGACATTTACTGGACTCTCGTTCCGCATGTTCGGGGACGATCTAGAGAGGCCGTCCGTCTGGCAAACTTTCTCAGCGTCAGTCTCTAAAACGTCATTTATAATCTTTACCTTACAATCTAAACCTCGTGATCCCCCTTACAATTCGGAAATATCGTCTAAAAATCATTCTTGATCTCCGCTATCATAAAATCAACAATTCCACTTCCCTTTTCCTTGACACTTGGTCCATTATCGACGCTCTCTTTGATTACGGTCATGATAAACTGACATGGTTGTTGCGTATCCCGTTTTCTTTTCTGAATTCTTGTAATATCTGTATTTCTTTTTCGTGATTAATCATGAATAAATAGACATTAATGAATGGTTTAAATTTCCAATATGTTTCACTTTTTATGAGTACGTAAATTATTGTTCGTATACATTCATGGTCTCAATAATATATCTTAATATCGTCCGCCCATTCCTTTCCAGAGTCGTCGGTGAGTGGGTAGTCACCACCAACTCAATGGTGGGACGCGGTGTTTAGTCATCGCCCACCCCGCGGCCCTAACATTTCCAAACAGGGGTTTCTCCGGCAGTTGGTACTCAGTGCCTAGGTCCAGCGATACCGATGGACCCCACTCCTCTTCCAGTTTCCTCCCTTTCACTATGTTCCCCTTTCCCCACCAACGCATCACTTTCTATATTGATCCATTTTGTTTCTGCTAAATGGTTAATGGGATTCCAATTTATTTCCACTGAGTTACACTCATATTAGTTCCACTATGTACTTTATATTGTCTTTACTAGTTTTTCTGTTTCCTAAATATTTACTTTGTAAATGACACTGTAATTTCAATGTAATTTCTTTCCCCTTCTGCTCCCAGGGTCGTCGGTGAGTGGGTATAGTCACCGCCAATTCAACAGGGGGGGGCGGTGTCTTGTCACCTCCCACCCCGTGGCCCTACCGTTTCCCAACAGGGTTTCTCCGGCAGTTTAAGCCCACGTCCAGAGACGGTAGTGGACCCCACTCCTTTTTCCCTTCCCTCCCTTTCACTATGTCCATCCCATCTCCCAGTAAAAATCAATTTTGTTTTTACTAATTTTGCCATCGGAGCATCAATTACTGATTTTCGTATTTTTGTATTACCACAATCACAATTATTTGTCTGTGCTCTCGTGTACCGATTTTTAATTTTCTCTATACTGTTAATCAGTTTTCTCCCTGAATTGACTCCGTTTGTTTCGCTTTCTAAGTAATCTTTCAATTTTGTGCACATAAACTTTATTCATTGTATTTTCTTTGATTTCAAAATAAAGTTTCCTCTTTGAAAATTACAAAAGTATTTACTCTGTTCATCCACAGCACATTTAGCGTAGGTAAACGGGTGAAGTGATAACAAGAAGACAACGAAGAAATGTTCAGCTTTTAGAGGTAGGGGGAACTCGGGATGAATATTCCATGGAAAACCTAGAGAGTCAGGCAGGGACTGAAACTCCAATCCATATGCTGACTTAGATCGGGATACGAACCCAGGTCGCAGAGGTGGAAGGCGAGGATAGAGCCCCAACACCAACCGTTTGTCCGGTAACTAACAGTACAGCTAAATTACTGAATGAATCTAAATGAATGACAATTACATCTTCATGGCAAAATATCAGAAAAATGCGCCCACCTTTTCCAGAGACAGAGACCGCCGTCGTGACCAAAATTGCAAACCCCAGTGTGCGGAACAGGGTGCTGACTTTCGTCAATCATGCTGCGTAATACAGACGGGAGAGATAGAGCCAATACGGGCGTTTCACAATAGTGCGCCTCCAAAAGTTTGCAATGCGTTGACCAATCACAGTGCGCGAAATCTGTCGACCCAATGCGCGTTTGGAAACGGTCGACAGATTGATCAACTTGTTGCAAACTCTTGGAGGCGCACTATTGTGAATCGCCCGTATTGGCAATAGACGCGCCGAGGCTGAGACTTCTTGGGACTTTTGGCTTAGCCAAAGATTGTATACACTTGGTTTCCAACGTATTAGTCAATAAGATCAGAGCTTGTTAGCTTTGCATAAGGGCTAAGGATACAGAGCTATCGAATTTCATTTTTTGTATATCCATAAATTATGTTAATAATTATTGAGATCACATTTCACATTTCCATAATTAGATACATACATTTTGAATCGGTTCTGACAGGGGCATTTTATTGTCCGAGGCTGATATTTGCTACCCACCGTACACTGTCAGAAAACGTTTCAATTTTCTGCAAATTCTAAAGGAAAATGCCTGGATTGCTGAGCACAAAAATATTCATCAAAGCCAGCTTACTGATTAAAACAAACAAACAAACAAACAAACAAACAAACAAACAAACAAACAAACAAACAAATGCCACAGCCCTGGCATCACCCTGGCTCCAGGGCTTAGTTCGGCTGGGCCAGAATTTGGGACTCCCTTACCCAGTCGATGGTCGAGTTCAGTCATTTTGGTATTTGCACCAACCCTACTGACCTGTTGATGGGTGCTGGAATTAGGCAATCATGCCATACTGCTGGCTTTGAATAAATTCGGCCTACTAAAATTTCGGATGGAGGGAAAAATTGGAATTTTGATAAATTTTCGTTGTCTTTCTAATAAAGGATAAGGCTCAACTGTGGGCTTTTTACAAGTTTTGTGAAGGAAGAGAAACGAATTCATCCCCAGATCATGTTTCAAAACCAAACAATTTGCCCCTTTGCATTGGGGAACATCTCCCGTTCACTCCCACCTTAAATACGCCAAGCTTGCTTAATGTTCAGCAGAATCGAGTTCAGATTTTACACTTGGTGTGGCGAGTAAACCAACAACCTATATTAACTTGATCCGAAATTTATGGGAATGCCAATTCCTTTGTTTGTTTTTTTTGTTTG